GCCACTGCTGAGCTTTGTAAATTTGCTGGAGTACTGAGTGCAGCAGCTTCACAGCATCATCTTTTAGGATTTGAAATAGCTCAACTGGAATTCTATCACCTCCATCAGCTTTGTTCGTAGTGATGCTTCCTAAGACCCACTTGACTTTGCACTCCAGGATGTTGACTCTAGGTGAGTGGTCACACTATCATGGTTATCTAGGTCATTATGACCTTTTTTGTATAGTTCTTGGGTATTCTTGCCACCTCTTCTTAATACCTTCTGCTTCTATTAGGTACATACCATTTCTGTCCTTTATTGTGCCCATCTTTGCATGAAATGTTCCCTTGGTATCTCTAATTTTCTTGAAAAGATCTCTAGTCTTTCCCATTCTATTGTTTTCCTCTATTTCTTTGCATTGTTCACTTAGGAAGGCTTTATTATCTCTCCTTGCTATTCTTTGGAACTCTGCATTCAGATAGGTATATCTTTCCTTTTCTCCTTTGCCTTTCGTTTCTCTTCTTTCTTGATTTAAGTCACTCCTGAATGACCTAGTGGTTTTCCGTACTTTATTCAACGTGTGTGTATATGTATATATGCTTCCGTTGTGGCTCAGCTAGTAAAGGATCTGCCTGCAATGTGGGAGACCTGGGTTCGATCCCTGGGTTGGAAAGATCCCACGGAGAAGAGAGAGGCTACCCACTCCAGTATTCTGGCCTGGAGAATTCCTAGTATAGTCTATGAGTTGGACACAACTGAGCGACTTTCACTCACTTTCAGACCAACTCATTTCATCCAGCCCTCAGTGTCTAGCAGGGCTACACCCAAGTCACTTAAGATAACCCATGTTTATCATATTTATATACACACATATATTCACCATAACTGAATATATGTGGTTCAATAGAATATTACTAAGCCATAAAAGAGGAACACAACAATGCCATTTGCAGAGGGGTGAATAGACCTTGAGACTGACATATGGAGTGAAGTAAGTCAGAAAGAGAAAAAAAAAATCATATTATATATCACTTTTATGTGGAATCTAGAAAAATGGTACAGATGAACTTATTTTCAAAGCAGAAATAAAGACAAACATGTAGAGATAAAACTTATGGATACCAAGCAGGGAAGAGTGGGTAGAATGAATTGGGAGACAGAGGTCGACATATATACACTATCATGCACAGAATAGATAACTAAGGAAACCTACTTTATAGCACAGGGAACTCTCCTCAGTGCTCTTTTGTAACCTAAATGTGAAGGAAATCTAAAAAAGAGGGGATACATATATATATAAATGATTCACTTTGCTGTATAGAAGAAAGCAATACAACACTGTAAAGCAATTATACTCCAATTTTTTTCAAGAGTACTACGAAAAATAAGTCAGAGAGGGAATATCATGTACTTAAATTGAAGTGGTCTTTTTAGAAAACTTTCAAAATGCTTCTCTCAGTAGTTCTCAGTTATTTGTGTTAATTCTGGTTTCATCTATTACGTAATTCTTATTTTGGTGGATGAGCAAGGCGTGTACAGTGTTATCTCTTCTAGGTGCAGTGTCAAACAGGTGTTCCTTAAGGTAGAAAAAAATACTTAGAAGTACTAAAAATGGTAAATTAACCATACCAGTGATTCTTAGATATCTATAAGAAGTTTTGTTTGATGCAAACTCATATTTAGGTATCAACTAAATATCTAATAGGAACTTTAGGTGTTTAAAAGCATTAATCCATATGGTGCTACTCATATGTCAGAGTTTCAGGCTTTCAAAATGTTTTACTGATAGATGGCATATATTTTTGAGAAAGCCCTGGTTGTATGCATAACAAGAATTACTTTTGTCAAAAAGTACACTGCAGTAACTATTAGAAGATCTCAGTTTTCATCCTGAATTTTCAAGATACACAGTAAGCCTCAAAACATATTTCCCTCACAGAAGAACCCTGGACAGCTGGATCCTTAAAATCCCTCTGGCTCTTACCATTTTATGAGTACTCTATTCGTCTAAAGAGAGGCAACCATGTTGGAAGAATGGGTAAGAAAAATGTAGCATACACATTTAAAAAAAATAAATAACATTCAACCTTAGGAAATAAGAATCCTGCTCTAATCAACAACATGGATGAAACTTGAGGACATTACATTAAGTGAAATAAGCCAGCCACAGAAGGACAAACACTACGTGATTTTGGTTATACGAGATATCTTACAGAGTTACAGAAACTGAGAGTGTAATGGTATTTGCCAGTGGCTGGGGGGAAAGGAAATGGAGATTTGCTATCCACTGGAATTAAAGCTTTAGTTATATAAAACAGGTAAGTTCTGTTCTACAGATCTGCTGTTCAATATTGTGCCTATGGTTAAGAACACTATTATACACTTAAAATTTTGCTCAGAAGGTAGATCTTATGTTAAATTCTCTTAATCACAGCAATGAATGTTAATTCAAAATTATAGAACCATAATACATAGTTAATCAAATTATTTTACTGCTGTGAATAAGCAATAATATGCAGAACCACAGCTTCTTCATTGTACATTTTAGTCTCATAATTATCATGAATAAGGTGGTAAAGAGAAATACCTGTTTGATAGGATTAGTATATGTAATATTTATTTTGTAGAATGAAATTACAGTCAGTTACTTCTAATTAATTTATCTTATTTGGATAATTGTTGATTCACTAACACAATCTTTGTGCTATCCATTATGTAAATCCATACCATATACATAAATGTATGTATTACAGAATTAGTTTGATTAGCTTCATATACCATGTTAATTTGACTTTCAGTTTTTTGAGTGTAAGAAATATTTTAGCTCTTGTAGGATGGCTTATAGGACAGTTATATTGACCGAGTTACAATATTGATAAAACCAAACTTACTGTTTTATTTGCCATAGCAACAAGTGGGATAATCTAGTTTACAGACTACTGATTTCATGTCTATACCATATAAATCAATACATTTGTGCAGGAGCTTATAAATTTGCACTTTAACAAACACTGAAGGTAATTCTGATGTAGCCATTATAAAAAAAAAAATAAAACACCAAATGAGAAATACTGTTAAATTTGGAATTATTAGCATATATTTGTCTGTCGTTGTTAAGTCACTAAGTCATGTCCAACTCTTTTGCAACTCCAAGGACTGGAGTCCACCAAGCTCCTCTGTCCATGGGATTTTCCAGGTGGAAATACTGGAGTGGGTTGCCATTTCCTTCTCTAGGGGATCTTCCCGACCCAGGAAATGAAGCCATGTCTCCTGCATTGGCAGACGGATTATTTACCTCTGAGCCACCAGGGAAGCCATTAGCATATATATATATAATGTATATATTCCAAACATATGAAAGATAATATGCCATATATGTGTGTGTGTGTATGTATAGATATAATGTGTACACTAATGTGTACATGTGTGTGTATATCTGATTTATGTGTTGGCATATAACATATGGGCCTCTGTGGTGGCTCAGTGGTTAAGAATCCACCTGCAATGCAGGAGACCTGGGCTTGATCCCTGAGCCAGGAAAATCCCCTGGAGAAGGAAATAGCTACCCACTTTGGTATTCTTGCCTGGAAAATCCCACAGACAGAGGAGCCTGGTGGGCTACAATCCATGGGGTCATAAAAGAAACACACACACATTTACCTAGTGCCCTTTAAATGGCAATCTGCAATGTTGTCTTATTTTTTCTTCTTCATACTTCTCTTGCTTTATCCTTTGTATTTCCTCCTATCTCTCTGTTTTAGACTCCTATCAATGTCTTTTTGTTTTATTACCATCAATATCAAATACATATCAGTTGTGCTTCTTACTCACAGCTATTGAATCATATAAATAGATACTGTCTATCAGACGGCTTTAATATGTCTCAAAGAGACTTCAAACTACTTATATCTAAAACAACTCTCAATAATCATAGCATTCCTATTCGAAACTTGACCTTCCTTCAACATTTTCCAACTCAGTGAGTGTATCTCTGGCCTTCATCAATTTATGCAAGCCAGAAAATGATGTTTTATTAGAACACCACCTTCTTTATCATTCTTCATTACAGAGGTCTTTATCACTATACCTCCTAAATATCTATCAATGCATTCTACTTCTTTATCACCATCAATATCATCCTAATACAAGCTATCATGATTTTTTTCTTGAATTATAGCAATCACCTCTTAAGAGGTTTTCTTATAGCTAATCTAGCCTCACTTCAAATCAATCTCTATACTTCAGTAAGAATCATCATTTGAAAATGCAAACCTCTTAATTTAATTGATTTTGATAAAAATCCTTCAATAAATTCTCAGTATTCGTATCAAATTTTTACATTTCCTAAAAGACCCTTTTAATCTAGATTTTACCTATGACTTCATTTCACTAATTCCACCATTCTTCACTCAATTATTGACTTGACTTTACACTTCAATGATAAGAGTGCATTAAAATTTTTAAAACAGCATAAAGATGTATTTTCTTTTAAAAATATTATAACCTAAAATTATGTTTTGAAAACTCTGCAGTTTCATGAGACCATGTCTTGAGTTTCTAAAGAAACAGATCATATTCACCCATATCATAGTGTTTAATTTTTGCCTTCAAATAATAAGGTATATAAAAGATCTACTTACAAAACCAAAGGCAAATTATTTCCAAGACTATTCAATCAATTTGAAAAGAAATGCCAAATGTGAACTGACACACTAAGGAACAGAACTGTAGGAACGACTCATTTCCTTTTACAAGTTTTGATAAAATCAAATTATTTTTCATTGATTGAGTGATAAAGAAATAGTTGATGAGATGCTTCATCTTTCAAAATTCCACTCTATATATCAGTACCCAATCTTCAAAATTTTCTCAGCTCTGATAATCACTCCCTATAATTTTCCTGCATCTGTTAATTTTTTAAGATTCTAATTCTTTAAAGGCCCAAATATAGTTGTTTTTCAATCCCAGTTTTGCCTCAGGCAATTACATCAATGCTAAGTTGATAGAGATTGTCTACTTACCATATTGTAGGTGGCTCAGAACCTTCTATTTCTAAGTAATCATACTTTTCTTCCATTTGGAAATCAGTAAATATGAGTGAAATTGTATCCCCAGGTTCTGCAACAATGGTCCAAGTGCAATCAGCATTGTTATGGTACTCATTAGGAAAACTAGGGCTTGATATGATGCCACTAGATCCTCTCATTGTTCCTCCACATGCATCTTCAGCTGTTGAAAACACAAATGAGATGTTCAGATATAAATCATTAAGAGAAATGCGATTAAATCAACTGTTAATATTACTGAATAAAGATAACAGGGCAAATGTTGTGAAACCAAATGCACATTACACTAATAGAGATTAAAAAAAATGTTAAGTTCATAAAAATTTTTTAATCACATATATAAATATAAATGCTATCATGACTGGGCTTCCAGGTGGCACTAGTGGTAAAGAATACACTGAGAGTGCAGGACATGCAAGAGAGGTGGGTTTGATCTCTGAGTAGGGAAGACCCCATAGAGCAGGAAATGGTAAATGGCAACACAGACAGAGAAGCCTGGCAGGCTACAGGCCATGGAATCACAAAGAGTCAGACATGACTGAGCAAGGAAGGATGGAAGAATGCGCTATCATGATTATATTATAATTACTGGTTGAAACAGCAATGATGTAAATAAAAACTTATACTTCAATCAGAGCTCAGAGTACAATAACTAAGATTTTCTTTTCATTGATTAGATGATGGAGTAAAACAAAAGAAACATTGTTCTTAAGGTCTATAATGGGAAATGTTGAGTCACTTTGTGCATATTCATGATAGGTCTCAGCTTTGTTTTTATTTCCTTAATGTAGTTTGTACCAAATAAATAATATGAAAGAATATAACAAATTTCTGTCATTGACATTCAAAAGTTATTGAAAATGTTTGTGGAAATGCAATTTAAATACAAATACATCACATATCTAGGAAACTTTAATTAGAAAGAAATAATATAGCAACTACAATAATATACTCAGCAACACATCTTTAGTAACATATTCCCTATGACTATCAAGCAATGTAAACATATTTTGCTACATATTCACATGATACATGTATATACAGTATTATAAATGCAATGACATCAGTGACTGGTTGAATAGACATATCAATTTATCATATTGTAGGTGGCTCAGAACCTTCTATTTTATAAATCATACTTTCCTTCAATTTGGAAAGTTTCTACTAATGTTACGTTTGGACATTTGGACCTGCGGCTCTCATTTCCCAATAAGGACTATAGATTCTCCACGAGTCTATTTTTAGCCAATGGAGTATGTTAACAGACAGATTATATGACCACCAATGCTTAGTGCTAAAACATAAGATAAAGCCCATTGTTTTATAAAGAAATTGAAGCTATAAAATTTGTCTTATCCTAATGTGGTTTAGGCCTGTCAATAGGTTATTAGCCTATTTGTACAACAAAATTTCTCAAGATTTATGCTGTTGTCTTGAGCCACTCTGGGAATTCCTTCAATTCAAATCAAATGTCTGGGGAAATATCTAGCTCTATAATGACCAATTATTGTTTGATGAAATAGCTAACACTCTGTAAGTGTAATAAATAGAGATATGCAGCATTCTATTTTACTCCACAATGGGCATAGAATGGCAATATGCTTTGGTACTAAGAACAATTTTCTTATTAAATTGTATGCATTAAATAGCATTTGCTTCATTCTGCCCCACTCTTTATCCATTTAGATTCATAATTCAAAAGTTAAAAGCATAAATATATTGCTCATAAAAGATAACTTAATTTTCATCATACACTACAGTAAGTATGATATTTATTTTCATGATGCCCTCTCTATCTTTTTAAGTTTGTTGAGTAATTAGAACGAACTAGTGGTCCAGTATAGACTATGAGATATACTACTATAATTTTCTTGCCAGAACACACAATGTCTTCCCTTAATACGTCAACTTTAACCTCTGGTGAAAATGTCCTACAGCTTTCAACCCAGAACCACAAATTATTTCCACTCTTTGTCTTCTCAGTGGTAACACCAAGGTTGAGTATTGCTTCAGAAATGAAATGTTACACTATCATATATTTGTAGTGTAACTGGTATATAACATACTCAAACAAGTTCTGTGAGCTCTTTATTTCTGTATCTAGATAAAATCTCAGGGATAAACATTTCAGTTCATACTCAGAATAAGAAAAAAAAAAAACTCCAGTTTTTAATTCAAAAATATAAATTTATCTATCAGTGTGTCTAGTCCTGGATGTTGTCAGTCAGTCACCCAATCATGCCCAACTCTTTGTGACCCCATGGACTGCAGTGCCCCAGGCCTCCCTGTCCCTCACCATCTCCCAAAGTCTGCCCAAGCTCATGTTCATTGTATCAGTGATGTCATTCAGCCATCTCATCCTCTGATGCCCTCTTATCCTTCTGCCCTCAATTTTTCACAGCACTGAGGACTTGTCCAATGAGTTGGCTGTTAGTAGCAGATGACCAAAATACTGAAGCTTCAGCATTAGTCCTTCCTATGAGTATGCAGGGTTGACTTCCCTAAAGATTGACTGATTTGTTCATGTTGCTGTCCAAGGGACTTTCAGGAGTCTTCTCCAGCACCACAGTTTAAAAGCATCAACTCTTTGTTGCTCTGCCTTTTTTATGACCATACATGACCACTGGGAAGACCATATCCTTGACTACATGGACCTCTGTCGGCATAGTAATGTCTTTGCTTTTCAATACACTGTCTAGGTTTATCATATTTTTCCTTCCAAGAAGCAATCATCTTATTTCATGGCTATTTTCACCATCTGCAGTGATTTTAGAGCCCAAGAAGAGGAAACCTGTCTCTACTTCCACCCTTTCCCCTTTTATTTGCCATGAAGTAATGGGGCTGGATGCCATGATCTTAGTTTTCTTAATCTTTAGTTTTAAGCTGGTTCTTTCACTCTCATCCTTCACCCTCATCAAAAGGTTCTTTAGTGCCTCTGCATTTTCTGCCATTAGAGTGATATCATCCACTTATCTGAGGTTGTTGGTGCTTCCTCCGCCTATCTTGATTCCAGCTTGTAACTCATCCAGCCCAACATTTCTCATGATGTCATACTCCTTTCTCTATCTTGAACCAATCAGTTGTTCCATACAGGGTTCTAACTGTTGCTTCCTAAGGCATGTACAGGTTTCTCAGGAGATATGTATGATGGTCTGGTATTCCAATCTTTTTAAGAGCTTTCTGCAGTTTAATGATCTACACAGTCAAAGGCTTTAGTGTAGTTCATGCAACAAAGATAGATGTTTTTCTTGTCATGGTAAAGGGGCCTGTGTAACTCAATGAAGCTATGAGCCCTGCCACGTAGGACCATCCAAGATGGACGGGTCATAGTGGAGAGTTCTAACAAAATGTGATCTGATCCACTGGAGAAGGGAATGGCAAACCACTGCATTATATGTACTATAAGAACCTCGTGAACTGTACAAAAAAAAGTCCTAGTTAATCACAAACAAAAAACTGATTTCATTTGGGTTAAGATTCTTTGCTCCCCTTAGCTAAGGCTTGTGGCAGATGGGGCAGAGGTGAGGGAGTGAAGTCAGCTTTCCTTTCCCATTGCCCCCTCTAGAATTTCTTTTCATCTATCCCTACTTACTGAGTTCCCTATGATTCATCCTAGATTTGGAAATAAAAGACATCAGGGCACATGAATATTATTTACCTCACACTGATTTGGTACTGGTTTCCAAAGGCTTTGGCAGATAATTAAAAAAAGATGATCATCTTGATTGTAAATCTTTTCATGGGACTCTCAGCAGTACCCAAAACAGTTCCCCTGTTGTGGGTGAATTGTTTCTCTGGCTGGCTACTTATTTTCTCCACCCTACTGTTAGGTAGGAAATTAGGCATGAGCAACCAAAGGTGGCCTAGCCAAAAAGGATGCAAGCTAATCTCTAAATCTCATCCCTGACACACCCAGAGGAGCTAACAGATATAACAGATATAACCTCAGAGATTTTTCCAGCTCCTGCACATCAACCCTAGGCACACAGTGGAAACAAACTAACCACGGGGTTACTAACCATGGGGTTAACCACTTAACCGTAGGCAGCGAGGAGGCAATTAAGGGTTCATAAATATTCTATACATATATACATCTGATTATAACAGACTGAATAATGGGAAGACATACGTAACAAGAGTCTGTTGCTATGTAACTTGCAACTGTCAATTGGCCTTCAGCATACATCCATTTTCATTCCCTTTCTTGACTGGTGGTAAGCACAAGTCCTATATTGCAGAGGACACAATCAAATGGAGGAGACAGGAAATATAAAAGTGGTAATACAAGAGGGCATAGTGGCAAGGATGACTTCTTTGAGATCGGTCTGTTCCCATGTCTTGGGAGCGTCTGTTTAGTAACGATATATCTGCTTGAGCTGTAACTGAGCTGTAACTTGTCTGTTGTTTTAAACCCTTTAGTCCGAAGATGTTCCAGAAGATGTTCCACATTTTTTGCAATGAGAGAACCGAGACAGAGAAATAACCAACCCAAGAACACCATGTGGTATGCTTCTACTTCCTTTCCAACAATATTTCTTTATCCTTACAGGTAGACCTCTTGGGCAGGATCTAAGATAATTCCAGGCCATAACACCCTCACAAAAGTCTTGCATATGGTCAAAGAAACATGCCCCATTTATTTATCCTCTGTGGAAATGCAATTTCTTCCCAAATGTAGCCTTCTTGGTTTGCAACAGATATTTAAATATTTCAGCCAAGGTCTTAATAATACATTGTGTCCCCCAAACTCCACAGCAAACAACTCAATTTGTCTGCCTGGTCTCCTTTAAGAAGTAATCTAGGCATATAGAAGAGAGACATCACCCCAAATTCTTGCCACATGAAATGCAGAGTAATTCATAGAATAGTTCACCCCAGGGAAAGTCTTATTTTATAGAAAAAGAACTTGAACCCAAAAGTATGATTGACCTGCACGAAAACAAGCAAGGGAACCGAGATCGTCCAGCATTCAGACCAATGCTCTTGCCAATTCCTGTACCAAGTTCTTAGTTCAGTACACTTGTTTGATCTCTTTATTACTACAGAGACTATCATAGAATCAGTAATTGACAAAATTGTGAAATGTTTACTTTTGGCACGTTAGATATGCAACATTTTGGCTAGGTGACCTATTTGAATGACATAACATTTGTATTATGATTC